ACGCCTAACCCCTACCAATCCAGCAAAAGCTGCAGGCATCCCTTAACACAGGGGTCTCCAACCTTGGCCACTTTCAGACTTGTGGACTTCAACTCCCAGAATTCCTCAGCCAGCAAAGCTGGCTGAGGAATTCTGGGAGTTGAAGTCCACAAGTCTTAAAGTTGCCAAGGTTGAACACCCCTGATGTAGATCATTGCACTTGTTAAACGAATCATTAAAGGAATCCGGCTTCCCACATTAACTTTGTCTGTCGGAAGCCAGCTGGGAAGTTCATAAATGGCGATCACATGACCCCATAATGTTGCACCCATCATAAATACATGCAGGTTGCCAAGCACCCAAATTTTGATCACATGACCAGGGAGATGCTGTGACAGTCATACGTGCATACGTCACTTTTTTCCTTCTCAGTGTCGCTGTAACTTTGGTCACTAAACAAATGGTTATAAGTCAGGGACTACCTTTGTTCCCTTTTCATCTGGAAATGGAAACCGAAGTGTTTTAAGTTATATAGCAGTTTTACATATCCTACATCAGCCTATTAATTCCAGGATTAAATTTTGGCAATTTAATTTTCTTTTGTCTTTATTTTAAGGGAAGAAATTTAAATGAGACAACTAGACCCAAGGGAAGAAAGCAATATATTACACTGTGATTTTAAACTTATGGCCCATTAAAATCTCTACATGACCTTGCTTTGCCCTATACTCGCACAATAAATAAATTAGAGAAACCAGCTTAAAGACCTGTGTTTTGCTTGTGTGGATGCCATTTAATTTATACCCCTTGTTCTATAAAGACTAACCTAAAACTTTCAAAAGATAGCATTCTTGTCCCAAATATCAAGGCATGTTTTTTTGGTGCTGTACAATTAATTTTAGTGTCACGTCTAGTTGAGCAGAGACAAACTACGTAGTAGCATTTTGAACCCACAATTGACATTCATAGTGCTTACGAGCAGAGGGAGCTATCTGAAGAACACCTGAAAGACTTCCATTATGGGGCATCCCTCTAAAATAGGGGCATCAAACTCACGGCGTCATGTGACATATCGGGACTTTTTTCCCCTTTGCTAAACCGGGTGGGGGCGGGGCCAGCACGTGACATATCCGCCCGCGGGCCGCGAGTTTGAAACCCCTGCTCTAAAATCCTATGTATTTGAAATTGTTAGAAGCCGAGAAGTGTCCCATTCAAACATTATTATTTCTTTTATCTTTCATTTTATTGTTTTGTTCTTCTATTATTCTTTCGGTAACAGTAGTTAATTAAAAAAAAATTCTTACCAAGAATTAGATAGAGCCAGTTGGCACAAGTCTACCTTAATGAATGCTGTAATTATGCTTAACAGTTTTTCCCCACAAGCAAATAATGTGGTTTGTTCAAACAGATTCTGGGTTATTTCTCTCAGGACAAGCCCAAAAAAGAAGCCACAATCCATCTATAGTTTATTACCCACTCCCTGAATGAATGAAGCACAGACTAGCAAGCTCTTCATTCATCAGTGACCTTAATAGGGTCATATGCAAATCACTTCAGAAGGTTGTTTTTTTTCCTTTTGGTGATTTTACAAATTGGTTAAATATCATAAACTTAGCTTGTAGCAATTAGACATCTCTCCATTACTTCAGATTGTAATTTATATTTCCTCCTTTTATTTTCCACTTTTTTTTCTTTCAATTAAAAGTTCTTCTTGTTTGTAGTTATATTGATTTGACTAAATTTGACTTTAAGCTTATAGTTCTAATCTAAAGGATGCAATATGAAGTTTCTAAATATCTTTCTCTTTTTGGAAGTATAATTGTTGTGGTAGTTTTGATCAGCACTTGCAGCCTCCCACTTTAATTATGTCTGTATTCCCATATAGAGGTAGTCCTCGACTTACAACAGTTCATTTAGTGACCGTTCAAAGTTGCAACATCACTGAAAAAAGGGACCATTTTTCACACTTAACAACTATTGTACAATCCCCAAGGTTGCATCATTTACATTCGGATGCTTGACTGACTCATATTTATGACAGCTGCAGTGTGCAGGAGTCATGTCATCGCCTTTTGTGACCTTCTGACAAGCAGAGTCAGTGGGGAAGCCAGATTCACTTAACAACCATGTTATTAATTTAACAACGGCAGTGATTCACTTAACAAATGTGGCAAGAAAAGTCTGAACAAATTTCTCACTTAGCGTAAATTTGGGGGTTCAATCAGTGGTGGGTTTCAAAGAAGGTTACCACCGGTTCGGAGGATGTGGCTTGGTGTGCGCATGCACATACTTTGTGCATGTGCCCCAAACACGCACTTTGCACACGCTCAGAGGCTTTCCTACTTACCTACTGCAATCCTGCACTCTCCCTGTCGCTTCAGCAGCTGACGCGCAGCAATCTGCTGTGCCACGCAAAGTAGCTGCGCTTCCAAAGCAGGGAATAAAGGACAGTATGGGAGCCCGGGCAGGCGGGTGGGCCCAACAGCAGCTCCTCAGAGAGAACTGATTCGGTCTCCACTGATCTTTGGCGCTACCGGTACGCTAGAATAGCGCCACTGGGATCAATTGTGGTCATAAGTTGAAGGCTACCTGAATAGCACAAATTTTATAAATAAAATTAATTTGCCTGCTGATACCGCATAGTCCTTTTTCCTTCCTCATTGGGGTAAAATCTGCAAAAAAATATGTTTCATATTTCCTTTAGTGCAGGGGTCTCAAACACAATTTACCTGGGGGCCGCTGGAGGCAGAGGCTGGGTGAGGCTGGGCTGCATAATATTATACTTTATATTATACTTTATATTTATATTATACACTAATATTATACTTTCATATCATGGTGGGGGCCACAGGATATCGTCCTGCGGGCCGCAATTGGCCCGCGGGCCGCGAGAATGAGACCTCTGCTTTAGTGAATCTGGAATAAGACTGATGTTTTCCCCTGTTGCAGGCAGAGAAGCTCCTTCATTTTCGACCTTCGTATTTTCCAGACATGTTTATTATTTCATACAGTTAATCCTCAACTTGCAGCCACAGTTAGACCAGAATTTCCGTTCCTAAGCCAAGCAGTTGTGAAGGGAGCCGTGCACAATTTTGTGACCTTTTTTGACACAGTTGTTAAGTGAATTGCGCAGTTATTGAGCAAATGCAGCTTCTCCCCTTGACTTCGCTTGTCAGAAGTTAGCGAGGAAGGTTCAAATGGAAATCACATGACCCCAGGATGCTGCAACCATCATAAATAAAATGCCAAATGCTCAAACTATGATCATACGATTGTGATGGTTTTATTAACATGCACAGGTTGTAAGTCACTTTTCCACTGCTGTTGAAACTTCTAATGGTCACTTAATGAATGGTTGTAAGTCAAGGACTACCTGTAAAGTTAGGGCTCCCAAATCTTCACTACCAGAATTGATCTGATAAATCAGTGGCAACAAAGATACAGAAAACAATGGAAAAACTCCCTAACTCTCATTTTTTGCAGCCCAGATCCAATATTCCTAAAGGAAAAGGTAGATGTGCATACTTAAAAAAAAAAAAAAGAATTATATTATGTGTACTTGGATCCTCCTTTTGGTGGCAATTAGACTTACTTTAAAAAAAACACAAGAGGCATCCAAAGAAAATTCTAATTTCCACCTGAAAGCTAAGTTATGAGGCAGTATTCTATATGCTGTAGGTTCTATACTGTGTCTGGTAGAATTTTCAGGGGTAAGACCAGTAACTTCAACCCACAAATAATGTTTATACTATGGTAGTTCCAAACAGTTCACAATGCGACTGCGATACTCTTTAGTATTTCAGTAGGTGGCAGCACTTGGCTGATCTTATCTATGTTTTGAAGCTAAGCCAGGTTGGACTTGGTTAGCATGTGGACTATTTAGAAAATCCCAGGGCTTTAAGATGGATTGAAAGTTGAAAGAACATCTCAGCAGAAAGCAATGATAAACCTTTTTTTTTTACTGCTGCCAAGAACCCTCTACGCCATAACCATGAGTCAAACTCAACTTGAAAGAGACTGTATCTTTTTGATTTGCCCCAGTTGTAGCTTCCAGATCCACTTCAAGAACACTTTCGTTTTTAATACCCTGAAATAGGCTATGTTGTTTTTATAATGTGGATAATAAATATGAACACCTACACAGCTGGCTCATGAGTTGAAATCGATAAAATTCACTGTGTGCTACACCTCATGTTACATACCTTAGTTTACATTTAAAAGTATGTTTAACCACCTTTTGGGACCCAGTCTGCCCAAGCAGCAAATGAATACAATAAACCCATAATGTTGATTGTCAACTGTGTTAAAACAATAATTCAACCAATACAAACCAACTTTCCTAGAACCAATGGGGGGGGGATTAAAGCAGCATTGATCTAGCATTGCAGTTAAATTACAAACTCAGTTCCTTCTTTGCCCTCCTTTCCTTCTCTCCTCTTTTTGTTATTAATATTAAATAGTTGTTTACTTTCCCTTTCAGATTCTTCCTATTCAGAACCTCCAGATGTCCAGCAACAACTGAACCACTATCAGTCCGCAGCCTTGGCAAGGAATAATAACAACATTAGCCCCGTCCCACTTTCTGGAGGAGACCAGAAAGCTGAAGCCATCCTTAACTGTGAATTTTGTGAATTCACTTCGGGTTACATACAGAGCATTCGGCGTCATTATCGTGACAAGCACGGAGGGAAGAAGTTGTTCAAGTGCAAAGACTGTTCATTTTACACAGGCTTTAAGTAAGTTGCTACACTGGAGAGTTAAGGGGTTGTTCTGTTGCCAATTAAGCAGCTATTCATTCAAACCTGGCCATTTGTAATGGTCTGTTGGAATGACCTTGGGAGATAGAAGGCAGAGCTGCAATCTAGACAAACAGTCTGGTAAGTGAGTCCAAAGAAGAGATAGGTTGGAGGAGGCATCTCAGAAGGGACCTTCCCTGGTCTTCAGGAGAGTAAAAGTAAGAGAGGGGAGAGATATTTTCAGACTTGCAAAAATTCTATTACTCTAACCTTAAAATAAAGTTAATGATAGCGCTCAATGTTGGTGCTTCTTGTCTGAACTACCTGAAGGGCTGACACAACTTCTGTCAGTAGACCTGCGTTCCCTTATATTTCAGTATTGTGACTTCAACTTCCATTTCTTGTTGTTTATGTCCCATTTACAAAATGAGGGGGGGAAGGCGCTTCTTGTACTAAATACTGCAAACACACCCACTTGTTTATTAGCAGTACTAAGGTGTAACGTGCTTGTAGTCCTTGTTGTGGAAAAGTAGACAAAAATATTTGCTTTATTGTGCAACCCGATAAATATCAGCTCAGAAGGATATTACATTGGATTCATTCCTAGATCAGTGATTATGGGATTGCAGTTTTAGAGTCTGAGATTAGACAGTAGAAAAGAGTAAAGGAATTGTAATCCACATTGCTAGAAATACCTACAAAAAATTGAACACTCAATCCAATAGACTACATATGCTTAGAATTATAACTTCACTCTTTTCCATGTGAAGTGTGGAAAGCAGTAAGCTGCTTCCTCCTGAAATCTACTTTGTCACTGGGGGAGGCTGATCCTATAAGGGCTCTTTACCTCCCCAAAACATACAAAATGTCTTTAAATGGTTGTGGTTTTTATTTAGGGTCCTTGGGATTGTTCTGTCTGTAATCCAGGAACACAATCCAGTGGGCAGCACAAGCTGCAAATCCACAAGCTTACGGATAATCTCTGTCAGCTGAAATGTGCATAGGACAGAGAGTGTGTAAACTATTGGTGTGTGAAGTATGCACACTTCCGCCAACAGCTGCATAGGTTAGTCCTCCTATGGTCCTCACTCTAACATGGTCTTCACTCTGCAACACAAAGATTGCAGTTGTGTCATGTAGAAATAGCCTAGGCCACGGGTGTCAGCCTCGCCATGTCACGTGGCCGTCACATAACATATTGTGATGCTTTTCCCTTCGCAGAGCTGGGGTGGGCGTGGCCTGCGCGGGACGCATCCAGACTGTGGGCCGCCAGTTTGACACCCCGACCTAGGCGCTGCCTATGCTGCAGTTGTATATTTGCAGCTTCAGTAAAGTTGTGTGTGCTGAGGCTGGGAAGGGACTCTGCGAACACAGCTCTTCCAACAGCGCCTTTGCCTTATCTCTTTAGTTAAAGTTGACATTTGCCCTGAAGGGAGAAGAATTTAGAAACCTGCCTAGGGGAATATAATAGTGAGTTCTTATTGACTCTCTGTAGGGTTCTGCAGTCAGCAAAATCTTCCTTCTCTTAAGTTCTGAATTCCCTAAAGTTGGTTTTAATGCTTTTCAAAAGAAGCTTCACAAACGGTTCCTGGAGTTTTTGGATAAAACTGTGAAAATGGAGTTGCATTTGGCTAGGTGTATGTCCTTGGGAAGAAATGATATAAATTACATGAACCTGCAGTTATCCTGCATGAATAGATCCTAGTTCATATAC